ATTTTTGTCGATACGTAATTGTTTTAACTGATTCAGAGACAATCCTAAATCAAAATCAATCAAAAAAAATATCGAACCAAAAGAACCATAAACCTTTGCAAGTGCCTTAACCCTTGCGCCACCACAGCTACTTGATATTACATAATTTTAATTTTTATTAAAACAAAAATGGCTCAACTTTAAACCAAAAATCCATGGAACCTCCCAATGTACAGAAAAAGGATATTTGGCCTGTTTATATGGAAGGTTGGCTCTATCGATTGCGCTATTGCACAGTAAAATCCCTCAGGTATGATTGGCGCGGTTCCCTTGTAAGATATCTTCTGAATCTTGCTGTAAAATTGCTTCACCATCTACTGTGGATACTATTCTAGATATAATCAAGAGTTCAAATAGAAGTGAACCTTCCAAATTAGTAATCTCGCATGCTTTTAGCATTTTATTGAGTCTGGTCAAGGTAAGTTAATCATCAAATCCAAATTTTTCCTATCCTAGAAAACGTCCTATTTCCGTTATTTTAATTTTCATTTCTTTAATAATGCAATATTTACTTTTCTTTGTCGTAGTTTGAAAAAACCCAGGACCTGGTCGTAGATTGCCGAGCAGTTATTGATATTTGTATTGAAAAAGCAAAAGTTCATAATAAAGTGGAAAACATATTTTGTAAATGTTTAACTCTCATTTATCTGATGGTTGTTAAAAGTTCTAATAGAGATGTAAGTATCATTGTGGCAGTATCAAACGATTGAATTGTTATTTATCAAACTTTTTTCTTTTACTTTTCAGGCCATTATCTCTGATCTAAAAATCAACAAAAATCTGATGAGTCTTATTGCGCTAGAAGCTTCATTCATCAAATCTCACAAAAAACGTAAAATATCCAAAGAGATTGTATTCTATCCTTATTGGTCATCGGCTAAAAATGTTACATACGAATTCACTGATCGCTTCACAGCTCTTGAACATGTTAATTATATTTTTAAAAGCAAACTGTTCTAATCTTCAAACATTTCATATACATATTATCGCAAATTTTTTAACAAATCACATCATTATTGGAACTGCACAGCTAACAAGTCTTCTATTTTTGTCAAGACTCCGGAAAAATGCTAATTCAAAGCATTCTAATCTCCAAACCTCCTTTCATAAGCCATATTAATTTCAAAACAAAGCATCCGCTTTATTTTACTTATTCTCATTAACTTTCTAACTGACTTTTTTACGTCCAAATCAAGCAAATCCATTTTGTATGCTGAAAAAATACGACATATTTTACTTCACTTCTCACTCGATTGACGGTTATTCTTTGCATTAATTTTTGATAATTTGTTGAAAGATGATAAATCTTAATAAATCATGTAAGCTCATCACATTTTTATTCATTAATTTAAAAATTTAAAGTATCTTTCTTTATAAATTTGTAATACAGATATAAACAGAGACAAGGAAAAGCAGAACACAAAACAAAGATTGACTCAATGTGTTTAAATAATAGATTTGTGCGTCATTGAATAAACGATTTTATTTAAACTAGTTGACTGTTTATTTACAATAAATTTTGTTGCATTTTGACAAATGAAATTAAAAAATGAAACCGATTTTAGGGAAACGCAATCCAACTTTTAATGTAGTTCAACTTTTAATTGTTGATCATCAATGGCAATGTAAATTAAGTGATTTAAAAGATGAAAATGATGGTAATGGTGATGATTATTGTGATGAAAGTGACAAGAAACTGGAAATAATCATTTCATGATATTAATGATTTAACAATCATCAGTAGTTATTCTCAATTGTGGTTGAGCCTTTGTTTGGTAACAAATAAAGCTTTAAAGTAAAATATTGTATCTTATTGTCAATTGTTGTCATTACTGTCCATTATATCATAGTTACCAGAATTGATGGTTCAATGAATAAATGACCATCCATCGTGTCACGACTAAACATTATATTACACAAAAAGGTTCAAGTAAATGTGATATAACTTCACATCCAAAGTGACAATCAAGATACAACAATGATGATTAATTATTTGGCACCGGAAGAGATCTTAATTGATTTTCCAGTCATTCTGTTTGTCAATATAATCATGATTTGACGAAGTGAATCCGAGTGTTAATAGTAAAATTTCATTGAACAGTAATAAACGTCTTTGAACAGTCTAATCACAATTCAGTTGTTTTTCCGCCCCGAGATAAAAGTGACCTTCCATCGGTAAACATGGATCGATTGTCATCTCTAAGGAAGCGACAAAAGAGCAGAATTAGTAAATTATGTTTAAATAACTATCAAACACATCAATGTGTTTATATTTGCATAAATACTCACAACAATTTGTAATAAAGTGGAGTTTTAAGACTTGATTTAAGACCTTCATTTGAAGAGGATGAACCCGAACTTTCAGGTCTACTATTTGATCTTGAAGATGATTTATCATTAGACATTGTTACTGTACTTGTTCCTGTACTTGGTGAGTGATTGCCATAAGCTCTTGATCTTGGCATATAAGTAACGTTAGACATTAAATCTCTGACTGACATGAGACCTCTTAAAGATGTTGCTTCGCCCTCTAATGGAGTGGATGAAGAGTTGGGATTGCGACCTAATTCATCGTCGATTTTCATGTCCATGTGAAGAACTTGAGTTTCATATTCTTTACTTCCATGGGCTAAAATTGATGAACTTGTAATTGTTTCAGCTGTGTAGATGGGGTCATAAAGTCTTGGTGGAGCTGGAGACATCATGACTCTTTTAACTTTACCTCCAGGTTTAGATAGAGTTGACCCGATCGGACTATGAGTTGATGAACTTTTTGAACTTGATCCACACTGATAAACAATACCAGCACAGCCACAAACAGCAATGGCAGCAGCTAAAACAATTAAACCCAATCCCAACTTGTTGATGTCAGAGGTAACTGGGATGGGAACAACGGCAGCAGTTGAAACAATGATGGGCACATAAGGGGTTCGTATGGATGTTGATGTTAACCCAAGAGTTGAGGATAAAGCTTGAATCAAAGACTGTTTAGCCTTAAAATCAGACAAAATTGCAACTACTTTTGGATCATCAGTTGTCAGTATTTTCAAAGTTGATGGATCAATCAAGTAAATCCAAACATCAGTTCCAGTAACATCAGACTCGATTGTATGATTGCGTTGAATCTTTAACGACTCGGCCTTTTCCCAGCCAGGAATAAGACCTGTACGATCTTGAATTATTTGGAGAAATTGTTCCTTCGATTCTTGAGCTCTACCCGTGGATGTGTCTCGAAGGACAAAAATTAAGCGATGTTTATCCTCAATCAGGTTAACAATAACCTCTGATGCCTCAGAAAGAGATGACGATTGAAGTTGAGGATTATCACGGACAATCACTTCAAGTCGAAGAGGCAATTGACTTGGCGGTATGTCTTCCATGGGTCGAGAGGTTCGCAAAATACCCGATCCTGGCTCAATTTTAAACCTACCCTGTGGATCTGAAGAGGGAACTAATTCATATGTAATGATACCGTTTGCTATTGAATCTGCATCGGTTGCTTTCAATTGAATAACTTGAGAGTCGGCTGGAGCATCGGATGAGATTGCGGCAATATATCTGTCGCGAGTAAGATGGGCATAGCGTCCTGGTACATGGAATATTGGCTTATTATCGTTAACATCCATAACATTTACTGCAACTTGAGTCATTAAACGTGAAAAACCAGATAAACCAGCAACACTGTTTAACCTCAAAGTCAACATGTAACGAGATTGATGTTCATAATCCAAGGGTTCTTTAACACGAATCTCACAATCCTGATTGCCATTTTCAACGATTGAAAATCGATTCTCCTCATTACCAGAAATAATTTCACAGGTAAACATAAAGTGACTTCTTGGTTTGTTCATTATTGGCAATGTTTTTACAATCGTATTACTTGGAGCATTCTCGTCCATTTCAACGCTACCAAAAAATTAAAAAAGATTCAACATTAAGCCATCTTTTTGTCAAAAGCAATCAATTTCGTGAAAACTTACGTATATTTTGAATCGGAAAAGCCAAGTCCAGGATCAGGAGAAGGAGTTGCAATATGGTCAACGAAGACAGTTATTGTGGTTGTAGCCGATAAAGATGGGCTTCCATTATCACTAGCGACAACATCAATCTAAATCAAGAGTAGAAACAAAGAGATTTAGTTTATTTTTTGACAACATATCAAAGAAACTTACTCTGTATTCCGATTCTGGATCTTTTCTTAGATCATCTTTAACCGAGATCACTCCAGTAGTTGAGTCAATAATGAAGAAAGCAGGAGCTTTATCGCGACCAACAATTTTATATCGGACAATATTTCCTGGTGCTGTTCCATCCGCATCACTGGCACGAATGGTTGTTAAAATGGTTCCTAATGGAACTGAATCTTGCAACCTTATCGGCGAAGGAGGGGAAATAAATTCAGGAGCATTATCATTCATATCAACGACGGTAACTAAAACTTGAGTTGTTGCTCTAGGATCGTCTGATTCATTTTCAACTGTTCCGATAATTAAATTGTATGAATCTCTAGTCTCGTAGTCCAAAGCACGGATTACTTTAACAATGCCAGTCGATGGGTCAACCGAGAAGAGAGACTTATCTCCGTCTCGTAACACGTAGGTTATAGACGGTAAACTATCAGGATCGGTTGCTTTAACTTGGACTAGATGACGATTAGCATAATTTTCAGGAACCGAAACCGAGTAAACTGGTTGAGCAAAGGTTGGAAGTTCATCTTGTAAGTCAAGAACCTCTACAGTAACTGAGGCAGTTGACAATCGAGCATTTGGAGCTTTATCTTTAGCCGTGACAACGAATGTATGTTCCTTGGTTCGCTCATAGTCCAGTGCAACGGCCGTGAAAATATCACCAGAATTTGGGTTTATCCGAAAATGGCGATCATCTGAAAGTGAATAGACAACCTCAGCGTTTTCCCCAATATCGGCATCTCTTGCAGTCACTTTACCAACAAAAGCTTCAACCGAACCTTCATCAACTTTAAAGGTATAATTGGACCGAAGAAAGTGGGGATTTTCATCGTTAATATCAGTTACACTGATTACCAAAGAAGTGGTACTGAATAGACCATCTTTGTCCTCAGCTTTGACGATTAAATTATAAGAAGAGACCTCTTCTCTGTCCAATGGCTGAGCAACATAAACAACTCCTGAAACTGAATCAATGGTAAAGTCTTTATTGGTGTTTCTCTCGACAATCGAGTATTTAACTGGATCATTTTCAGGATCAGTAGCCTTTAAAGTAATAACAGTTGACCCAACAGAGATTCCTTCCGATATTTCAATTTCATATCGTTCTTTAGGGAAAACTGGTCCACCAGTATTCGGTCCACGAACAATGACAACCTCAAGTATACCTTGGGTTGATTTACCACTTGAATCGGTAACCAGTATTGTTAAACTGTATTGTTCACCAGCAACTAGTTTACCAATTGCTTCAATTTGTCCAGTTTCAGAATCGATTCTAAACCTTTCCTTGCCATGATTGGAAACATGGAATATGGAATATCTCAATCGACCAGAATCCATTTCATCAAGATCTTTAGCTTCAATCTGTAATATGAAAACACGGTTAATTAGTGATAAGATCTTTGCATGATTCAATCAATACAAATACCTTGAAAACATTTCTGGCCCCTTCACCAGCTTGAATTGTTACTGGGGACAAGATTGGCAGTTTGGGCTGATTATCATTTACATCTTCAAGATGAACATTAATTGTGATCGGTGGACTTGCGTCTTTGCCTTTAATAGCACCCAATTGACGAGCAATTACCTAAAGAAATAATGAGATGAAATTAAAACCAGTCCAGTTAACAATTGGAAATGTTTCAATTGATTACCTGAAACTTGTGAGTACTTGGGTTTGGTGGATCACGGTCCAGATTAGGATCGTCCACAATCAAATAGCCATCACCATTAACACGAAATGAACTGCTAGTTACTTCAAATTCATAAATTGCTGGAGCATCATCTTTACCCTGAAATACAAAAATGAAGGGAAACGAGAGACAATTAAATAAATTATCTGTTAACATGACTTTACACCAAATGAAACAAATAAATCAATTTTACATTATTTACTCAAAAGCAATCAACTGTTGATTCTGTAAATAATTTCCAAGAAAATAAAAAGTAAACATAATGTGAACATTATTTAGCTTGAAGCTATTTACTTAGATAATTACTTCAGCATTCATTCCAATCACTGTAATCATCATCATAATCATCATCATCGTTGTCATTAAATTATTAAGAAAACTAAATGAAACAAAACGCTAATCACCGGACAGAGTAACAACCCTGAGGTAGTTGATGATGGAGAGTAAAATGATTTACTGTGAAAGTTGGAAACAAAAAGATATTGATTTGTTAATGAATGGTGACAGCGACAGTCACAATTAAAATATATCAAATGATTGAATAAGGGAGCAATTAACCAGAGAACATGATTTCCAGGAAGAAATCATTTCCACCTTTCAATGGAGTCTATCAATCTCAAGCCCAACTATTTCAGATGTTACCAGCAAAGGATGAAAGACTAGTAATTGTAATTAATTGCAAGTTAATTGTGACTTACAATGTCAGGATCGGTGACAGTCAACTTGAGTGGAGCTTTGGTCAGCCTGTCTTGATAGACGACGGTTCCAATAGGTGATCCTTCGGGTACATAACCATCAACTGATGAAGCTTTAATAGTTGGTGGATTTTTATCGACAGCAACAACTTGAATTATTAATTTAGCAAACGAGTGTCTCTTTGGGTTGTCCAACTGTTCAGCTCGAACTGTTATGCTGAAAGATTTAATCAGCAATCTGTCAACTCGCTTCATTTGTTTAACCAGTCCAGTTGTCCGATCAATTGTAAAGTAATCACCATAATTAGCTGGTGTTCCGTTGACAAATGAATAGCCCAACGAAGTGTTTAGAGTGTCACCATCACGAGCAGCAATTGGTTCAGGTAAAATGGAAACCATTCCAACCTTAACAATCAAATAGAATCAAAAAGTAAACTTAAATTAGTATTGAAAGTGCAAGTACAATTAGGTAAACTTGAGTTACTGTTTTAATTCAACAGCAAGTGAACAATTTAACTGGTCGAGTGAAATTCTGATTAGCAAAACCATTAAAAATGGTCAAGGAAAGTATAATAACAGTTTGCAAAAGTCCATACCATTGAATCAGATGTGATTGAAGCAAAATAAGTTGCCTCTGAACATCGGCCATTCTTGCGTTGACAGTTTTTATTGATAAAATATGGATCTTGATCGTCGCCATCAATTACATTGATTGTTAAAACAGTAGTTGATGATAGTCTGTCAGATCCATTGGAACCTTTATCCTGATTTATTGAAATGAAAACAAAATTAACAATCAATTGATGATCAACCAACAAAAGTTACCCTTAATTTAGATTGCATTAAAAAGCTGATTATAGTCATTGACTGGAATTACAATTGCTGGAATTAAATCTTTTCAATCAACTATAAAATATTAAAAATGATTTCACATGAAAAAGATGATCTTCAAGTAAATAATGGGTTTAGTGGTTGACAAACTGAAAATTTTTGATTAACTTGTTATTGGTTTCATTGTGTTTCATTGAGCTACATTCAAACTTTTCTGGGTGAAGATGAAGATGAAGATGAAGATGAAAATGGTGATACAATTGTGAGAAATTTTTGCCTTCATCATTCATCTTCTTCCAAGTGACTTATATGAACGATTACTCTGAAAAGTGCTTCCAAAACTGACCAATGTTTGTTAGGACCATTTAACCGTAACTTGAACAGCGATTTAATCTTAATCAAACTCAACAAATTTGGTAGTAAATATAATGGCTTCATTTGTTAACCATTAAAGTTGAAAGAGCGCACAACTTTAGATTGGTTAAGCTGATTTAAACAATTTAACCCTTCAACAGACAACCTTTACTCGAGCAATCAAAATTAAGGTAATAATTGAAATGGTCAATGAAAGAAGTGGACCAAAAAAACAATAACAAAACATTACCATTGCAATGACTTTAAGTTTATACAAATGGGTTTGCTCATAATCAAGAGGCTTCTTAATTGTAACCAAACCTTGATGAGGCATCTTAATCTCAAAATAGCCAAATCCATCAGTCTAAGTCCAGATTTTAGTGTCAAATCAACAGGCAAAAAAAGGTATAAACAAGAAAGATTAATAAAGGAAAATAGGATTCAATTGTTACAATTAATTACCTGACTTCCATCTAAAGGTTCTGTTGAGTATTCAACTAATCCATTGTTTCCAGAATCAACATCGATTGCTTCCAGATCTCTGAATATTGTGCTTCCAACAGGAGTTAACTAGAGTAAATGATTTAAATGATTAAACATTGTTAACGATTGGGTTCAATTGAACAACCAAATTGGGTTTTCATTTCAAAAGGCAACATTTTGTTAAACACTTTCTTGTCTCCTTCAATCAATAACTTCAAGTTTAATGAAACCTTCAAACTTTTGAATAAACTGTTATCAAGATCAATATCATTTTTAATTGTACTGACCAAGCACACCTAATTATTGTAAATAGTGATTTCAATGTTGATTGATTGATGCCAATTTATGGGCGAGTGTAAAAATCAATTGAAAGGTTACGCGAAGATATGGTCAAGTTTATGGTTAAATAGTCAAAATAATGTTCAATATTAAAAGAGATAAATTGTGGTCTAAATTGTCTTTTCAATTGCAATTGTTTGGCCAACAATTACTGTTAACTGCATCAAGTGTTTCAATGGTTAACATTTGAAACTCATTTCAACAGCTATGCTTTGTTGGACTTTTTAAATGAAATTTTAATGTTAAAAATGATCAAATTTTGAATCAAATTTTGAATCAACTTTTGTATCTTTCAATCAAATCCAATCAATGTTTGTAAAGGTTTGAGGAAAAGGGTTTCGAGGTCCATTTAATTATCAAATGAAGCTTAAATTCAAGTTTGGTCAACTAAATGCTTTTGATGCAGAGAATCGTTGAATTAACAATTTAAACCGGTAATGGTTAACTTATTGTTAAACTTGAATCTTATTTAGGTTATAAAAATAGACAATCGAGTTTATTTATTGTTTTGTTGAATATAAATGAAGATGAAAATAATAAAAGGTTTTCAACATTATTTTAATAACAGTATAAAAGTATTCAGATGATGATATATCATTGATAATAATTACTTCTGTGGGTTGGTTAAAGTCGGACAATTTTCATGATTGAATAAAACATTCAATTGATGTACAACAATGGATAAACATAATAGGAGTTGAAATTTATATTTCAATGCTAATAATAGCTGTACATTGACTGTGATACATTTTGAATGTTAAATTAACCAATGATTCTGGACTGAACAGATCATGACAAAAGTTTGAATCAATTGTAACGTTTAAGAGCTCTCCTGGCTTGCATCCTTAGATTGAGTAAAACAATTGTTAAAGTTCAATCCAAGTCACCACTGAACAAGTTTATTGAATATTTAGTAACTTAAATCAACTGCTATTTAAAACAATCAAGTTTCCGATGAATCCTTCAAAGACTAGAGTTTCAAAACCAAGTTTACCAAAGTAACCAGAAACCAGAAAACAGTTAAAGGCAACTCAATATTCAAAAGACTTTTGTTTGCTTTGGATTTCTCAGTTTTTCAAGAATCTTTGTTGACTAAATAGGAAATTAAGATTCACATTATGAGCATTTTTCACCTGAATATTGATGAAATGGAATAACAAGATTTTACTAAAAAAACGACTGAATTTAGAGGTAAAAATGAAACAGTTTTCATCACATTTAGGGTTTAAAATTTCGTTATTGAAATTGTAATGAAAAATCTCAATCTTTTGCAAATCAAAGCCAATCATGATTTGAATAGAAAAATGAAATTTAAAAATGCTGAACAAATCATGGCAAGCAATAAGCTTAGATGATTTGGTCATTGACTAAGAACTAGAAGTGATCAATAATCGTAAATCAACTCCTGATGAAAACATTAACCCAGTAACTGGCAATATAAATCATGAACACATTAATCATTTGATATAAAATTTTGATTTTAAGATATTGAATGTTTACAGATTGGATAAAGTTGCAAATGATATTAATAAGAGCAATTAAGAAGTTCATCTTTTTATGTATCATTTTAGTTGATTCAACTGGCTTAATTGTACACAAATCTGAATCATCTTCAATCTGATTATTGTTTGCTGATTTTGCCTTCTTTTTTTGTTCAGTGTAAGGTTTGGTCAGGCTGAGTTTTAAGATTAAGACAAAACAAACTCTAAATATAAACCAATTGGTTTATTAATACAAATAGAAACCTCCACCGGAGGTAAATGATTAAGGTGGTTGGATTAAATTGTTTTTATTAATCACGCCTTTAATTGACCTGGAAAAAGTTCTGACATAAGAAGGGATAAGAAGGTGAAAATAATAGTTAACCACAATAAAGATTATATTGCTTTGCATCTTTAAATAAAGTGCATGTAAATAATTTAACCCTTAAGGATGAATAGCATCTTCATCATCGCCATCAGTTTTAATCACACTTTAATAAGAAGAAACATAAAAACAAAAAAAAACACATTTACTTATGTGACTGACATTTGATTATTAAAATAGCTTACAATAATGAGAAAACGAGAGTAAAAAAAGCGTGTTCAAGAAGCTATTTGATAAATTGTAGCAAGTTATTAATATAAATTGATGCATCATTAAACTACTGGTTCAAGTTAAAAGTGTTCAGTTTTTTGACTCAGAGTGGACATTAATCGCAACTTAATCGCAATTCAATCATTTTTATTAGTTGTAAGAATCAAAATGGAATCGACTAATCAACAGGTTTGCGACAGTTTAATCTGTACTCAGGTGCTATAAGTATGAAAGTTTTATGTTTAACTTTCCCAAGAGTTGGACATTTGCTTCAATCATGAAGCTTGTTTCGCATTATTGTCACAAATATTGATTGCTTTGATGGTCAAACTTGATTTTACCCAATAAACCTTTCAACTATTTCACCTAGCAATCAGTTTTAATGTGAAAAAGTTTCCCAGACTGAAGTTGAAACTCAATTTGGTTACTTTTAGTTATAACTTATAAGTTTACAGTTTAATGACGGATTCATATTGATACATTGATTAACATGGTAAATAGCAAATTGAATTTCATCTAATAAGCACTAATTTGGTGTTTAGTCACTTGGTTAAACATGATTAAGCTAATTAAGTTATGTATAATATCAAGCAATTGGAGCAATTACTGTATGCTTGGTATAAGGTATGACCGATAAAGTTTGTCACTAATTTTTCAGAATTGAATTGCGTCAGTTAGACTAGACTTACAGGCACCATTTAACCGTTGAAATAAAGGTACACTTCTCAAGCACATTTTGTGCAAAAATGAATTAATTTTGACCAAAAATTGCCAAGTTATGACCTTAAATGGACAAAGGCGTCGCAATCTGATTTTAACTTTACCCAAAAACCATAAATTTTTCCACTTCATACTAGGGCTTCGAATAATCGAAAAATAGTGAGCTTGGCCTCAAAGTTATTGAAAAAAATGTAATTGTCTTAATATAACCCAACCTATATCAATTACAAGGGCCAAGCCATCGCCAAAACTAAATTTCATGGACATTTGATAAAAAAACGGGTCGTCAAGCTTTTTTTAAAAGACTTTTTAAAAAAATGACCTGGATTTCGAATATTTCGAGTAATATGTTGAAATAAAAAAGTCATAAGGTAAATTTACTGCTGTCTATGAGATGCTGATGTTTTCATTCCAGGTTAATTGCTCGAAATATTCGAAATCCAGGTCATTTTTTAAAAAGTCTTTTTAAAAAAGCTTGAGGACCCGTTTTTTTTATCAAATGTCCATGAAATTTAGTTTTGGCGATGGCTTGGACCTTTCAATTGATCTATGTTGGGTTATATTAAGAGAATTACATCCTTTTCAATAACTTTGAGGCCAAATTTCACTATTTTTCGATTCTTCGAAGCCTTAGTATGAAGTTGAAAAATTTATGGTTTTTGGGTAAAGTTAAAATCAGATTGCGACGCCTTTGTCCATTTAAGGTCATAACTTGGCAATTTTTGGTCAAAATTAATTCATTTTTGCACAAAATGTGCTTGAGAAGTGTACCTTTATTTCAACGGTTAAATGGTGCCTGTAAGTCTAGTCTAACTGACGCAATTCAATTCTAAAAAACTAGTGACAAACTTTATCGGTCATACCTTAATAATGGATTGTTGAGATTGAACATTGAAAAGATACAAAATTTCAAAGTTGGGTTTCGCATGTTCACTTGAAGAAGAAAATGACTTGAAATTGCAGTTTTCTGAGACTTGAATCTTATTTTCGGACCAACTTCTGTTAACTTGGTCAGTCTAATGATCTTTTCAACCTGCTTAGCCTCAGACTTTTCCTTAATGGTGCTCTATTGGCACAGGTAATATCTATTTGAATGATGAGTTTTTCAGCTATTTTGATGAGTCCTTATATTAAATCATTAATGGATTCATAAAGAGATGCAGCAAAAAGGGCAACAAAAATAACGGAAGAGAAAAAAAAGGTCAAGTTCTACATGAGAATTGAATTGTTTCCATTATGGTGGTGACAGATACAAAAGTATTCAATAAACAAAATGATGGTCAGGTTGATGAAGATGCAGATGAAGACAAGGGACTGTCAAAGGTTCTTGAAGGCTTTTCTCACGGTAAAACAAGACAAGATGGACATTAGATGAGGAAAGATGTTAAGGCCATTTGGAGAGATGCTAAACAAATATTAAAACTAACGAGGATGGAACAAGCGTTTGGAAGGAAAAAAGATTTCATCGTTGATGGTGATGAACGATGAAGATAAAGTGAGGGTCATAATTACAATTGAAACCATGATAATAATAATAGATTGTGAATCAAGTGTAAAATTGTGACAACAACTAGTTTGTCGTTTCTTAAGCCATTCACCAGATCGACAACAAAATGGGAAAGTTGTGAGAAATGAAACAAAAAATGTGACAAAATGTCAGTGTCTTCACATTGGGTTAAACAGGTCATCATGGTAATGATGATGATCAATGAGATTTAAGAGTCTATTTCGTGATTCCTTAAATGATGTCAATTAAGATGATTACCTAGTTAGTGAAGATCATGATTATACAGTGAATCAAATTGTTTCCCTTCGTCTATTTACACATGAAATATACTTTATTTACTCCATAAATAAATCTTTATTATTGATATCACGTTAACGTTTCGCTAATCATTTAATAGCAATGAAAATGAAATCGTTTAACAATTTACTGAATATGATTAAACAAGTTAACCTTTATCAATAGCCAACTGAATCAAGGTTGGTTTAAACACGATTAACATGATTATGTTGAAGTTGATCCTAACTGTCTTTAGTCTAATGTTTCCAACAATTTATAAATTACATTTTTTGAAACATTCAAATGTCAAATCAGTGAAAAAGTAAAATGTTGAATAATTAAAAGTCGAGTCAAGTTTTTCAAGTTATAACCATCAAAGTTTTGCAAAGCACATGAAACAATTAAAGAACAATTAATTTGATTCTTTTTTTACTCTTTAAATAATCATTTAATTACTAATGATTTTCTAATGAATTGTTAAGTATCTTTCATAATTACAATTAATGTCATCAACTAATCGTAATGATGATACAAAAACAATCAATGTTACCGTTTTCAACCCAATTTGAAAAGTCAATGATCGAACCAAATTTAGCTTAAATTGTCAACTTACCTCTGAAACGTTTACAGAGTAATGATTACGTTTAAATATTGGTGGGTTATCATTGATATCCATCACTTTAACCAGAATTGGAATTGATTTCTAAGAGGAAAAACAACATTTACAATTAGAATCATAAATCTAAAGTTAAAAGCTTTTTCATGATCAACTGATTTTGTAGTCAATATTGAAATTGGTTAAACAGCCAAAAGACAATTTAAATATAATAAAATTGAAGTTAAAATTAACCCAAATTTTGGCTGAATAACAATTGAAGGAAAAATTTGTTTGAAATTGAATATTAAAAGGTTTGAAGCTCAAGCTTTTTGGTCAGCTTCTATTAGTATTGAATTGCAACTTGTTATTGATATTGTGATTAAACCATTTCACCTAATTGTTGATCAATGAAAAGTTAATTTCTAACAGAATTACCTTGATTCCAGTTTGTTTCTCTGTACAGGATATTTGCATGTAAATTGAAGTTAAACCATCCTTCTGTATGAGATGAAAAGAAGAGAAAAGATGAATGAAGAGAAAATACAAAAAATGATAAATGTGAACATGTTAAGAGGATGAGAAAGATGATGAGAAGGAAGATCAAGGTGTGTGAGTTTACCTTAGAAACACAGTGAGCGGTGAAACGGAATAAAGGTAAGAAATGGAAAGAAACATTTTTTGTTGCTTCCTTTACTCACATCTTAAAATAGATGATGATAAACAAACAATCAAGGTAACACAATCAACATCAATTCAATCCTCCTTTTACCTTAATCAGTGATAAAGTTGAAGTTAAAAATGGTGATAAAGATGAAGATGGCGATGCCATTGTTTTCAAGTTTCATCAGGTCAATCTTCATCTTCCGTAAGAAGAGGTAAAGACGATCAGGTTGATGATGAAAAGTAAGAAATATTGTGACGCTTTCAACCTCAAATGTTAGCTTGATTGGTCGACCTTACATCATCTTCATCAGTCTGTCATTATTACACTTATTATCACCATTTTCATTCATCAACCTTTTTCCAGATTATTTACCTTTTTTTTTGTTTACTTCACTCTTTGACCTGAATCCATGAAAATAAGCTAAACTTTACCGGATTATATTTAAATATTTACCTGCAATTACATTGTCTCTCCATTACCAAGAATAAAACTTACACCTACTTATTGATCCGATTGCTTCCGCAGTCTATGGCCTTAAATCAGCCAATATTTGCTTCTAATTTTGGGTTCAATTGTTCACTTTTTCACCAAACTGTTAACTGTTTGACCAAATAAAGGGATTCAATCAACAATTTTCAACACCTTTGCTTCAATCCGCAAACAATTAGATGTTAAATCATCAAATTTTAGAATTAAAATGAGCGTAAAATTACAATTCTAAGTTTATTGTTGATTTCGTGCAACATGATTTTAATCAACTTTGTAAATTGAATTAGCTAATTGCAATGAAAATAAACATTTTCAATTTTTAAATTGATATTAGGTTTAAATTGAGCTTCATTTTTGAGATGTTTAGTTGAAGTTTGAAATATTATGGGATAATTGAAGGATTTTTTTGGTGAAAAGTCGGTCAGAATTAATTGTTGATTGTAATTCTGGTTTGGATTATAATTAAAAATTGTTAGCAAACTGAACAAATTGAAAGAGAAGTTAATGTTGATTGTAAATTCTGTCAACCATGATATTATCATTAGAAGGTAAAGTTGGAAAAAGTTTGGAAACAAGAAACTTCACTTTTCTCTTGAATCGTTCAACTGAATCTGATGAAATTTACAAAAAAATATCATGAGTTACATGACAAGATGTGAGAGTGAATTAAGTCAAGTTTAACATTGAAACAATTTTAATCATGGGCAAGTTGAACAAGTGGAATGAGAAAAAGTGACTCACAGACTAATATAAATCAGAGACTGCAAAATGGTTGAAATGGGAATCAACAAGTGAAACAATTGAGTTAACAATCAAATTGATGCACCTTGATGATAAATATCACCTTTTATTCAAGTTTAGTCAATTGTTCACTGGCTTACTGCCGATTCCCATTGGCAACTTGCACTACAAAATTGAATGGGAAAAGTGATGATGAAAGTTGTCTCATTAACAGCATTCATCAATTTACCTTAAGTTGGCCTTTATGTCAAATTTGACTTGTTTATCGCCTAATCATTGCAATTTAATCAACCTTGAATAACACTTAAGATTTCATTTCAGACCAAAAGTGACTTTGTTTTTGTCAACATTCATGATTAAGTAACGACAAAAACAATTTGTGTGAATTGATGGATTCAAGTCAAACCACTGGAAAGCAAAAGACTTTAAATAAGCTAGAAAATCAGGAAATTGCTGAAATTCAATGAATAAATGCTAAAAAGTCAAAAATTCATTGTTACTTGAGACAATAAAGACAACAATGATAAGAGTTTCAGATAAATGATTCTAATGAGGAAGAAGCGTCTTTACCATGAATGAGAATCGATAGTCAAAGGAATAACAAATGTAAAGAAATTCAAAAAAATTTCATGTTGGATCTTGAATTCTGAATTCTGTGAAACATTTTCAGTTTTGCTTATTTTCTGAACTTCTTTGAAATTGCATTTCCATTTTATAAAGTTTTTCATTTCTCGCTATGAAAATGACTTTCAAGCTTTAAACCAAGAAGAAGGTAAAATTGAAAGATTGCGAAGGATTGAGTTGATTGTGATTTTGATTATGTTAAAATTAAATACGTTATTAAAAAACTTACGTCTCTATCCAATGGCCTATTTAGGACTAATTGTTTGCCATTAAGATTGAAATATCGATGGGTTTCCGAAAGGATTGTTAACTCAATTTGAGATAAATTTCCGGTTATTGGAAGGTCTCTTGGTTTGGTTTTCTGGTCAATTCCTAGATAAAGATTGATGAGAAAGGGCAATTAGATTTGATTGAGAAAAGTGGAAATAAATGATCAAAATCGGATTTAACTTGATTCCCTCTGTGTGGGTGATAACAATTTACACTTTACAATTAGCTTTTTATTTTTAAGTTTATGAATTGCAATGAAAAAGGTAATCATAAAAAAGTTATGGGAGTTGAACTAGTATTTTGTAAATGGCACAACTTACATGGCCTCATCATAATGAAGATGATTATCATCTTTTTTACTACTTTCTGATCTTCTCATCATCTAAACATAACGGGAAACAGCCTTTTCCGCTTGTTGTTACAAGTGACCTTAAGACGGGAAAATACAGAACAGGTTATTTCTGTACTTTGTAATGGTTCATCATCAACTTGATTAACTTTTAACAGGTAAACTTTATTATTAGCAAGATTATTATTTTCGCTGAAAACTGACAACATTATGTCTTTCTCAGTGATTAACAATTTAAATTTCATATTAAACAAATTTAATTATTACATGAAAGTGACAACAAATAAGAGTTCAGCTGGCCTTTCATGTTTAACATTGAATGTAACTTGATTAATTATGTTGAGTAAACATGAAATGACGAGGAAAAGGATGAGAGATTCAAGAAGATTCTGATGCTTTTGGATGATGATGTTTATAATGGTGTTAACCAGCCTTAGGCTGTGAATCAATGTTTGAACATTTTCTTGGTTACTTTAATTAATTCTGGTTAACTCTCACCGTTATGTTGATTATGACGAGAAAGGGATATTTGATGATGAATGAAGAGAGAGAGATGAGGATGGATAAGGTCAGTAAAGGCTATTGTAAATGGTTGTGAATCAGCCTTAAACCATATTTTACCTTTGATCAAAATAGCTAATTAATATGATAAAACAATTACTTACTTTGACCAAGACTTTCCGGTATCTCCAAGATGGCAACCTTTTCACCTTGGCCGGTTTCACATACTGTTTTCACCGCAACAATTAAAGGTTGGTGTTGATTGTCATTGAATATGGATAATGAAAAAAGATGAAAATAGATTAGATGAAGCAAAAGGACAATTGACAATCAGCAGAGGAAACCAAATAAACCATAATAGCAATTAGTAAACACTGAATGTATCTCAAAATATCTTGATATTTGTAGCTGAAAATTCATTTGCTTTTCAGATGAAACACTTGTTTAGATTAATTGATTATGTTTAAGAAATTGATTGACAAATGATCAGCTCATTGATTGATTATAATTGACTGGCGACTCCTCAAAATACTGTTTAATTTGAATGATTTCATGTTAACAGTTAAGTGTCACTTTCAATTTATGTTGATCTGTTTATCAACATTAAAATCATCATCAAAATCATCTTAAGAATAAATCTGTTAAGGTTTCAATATTTACTTTTAATCAAAAAGTGAAAGTAAACTGTGACTTGGTTCAGCTTTTTATTCAGTAATCTGGTCATTTTTTAATGATAATTTACCGGTTTTCCATGACATTTTCAGATTTGGTGAACTGATAGAGATTCTCATGTTTGAATCACTGTTGTTATCCATGTTCATTCAATTGTAAAATAACAAACAACTTTTTGTTTAATTTTTGCTCGCCATTTGTCGATGGCTTTCATCTTTGTCTTGAAAACAACACGGCAAAGGCTCATTGATACAATGGTTTGTTATTACAGTGGTTTGATTGACTTAATAATTTTAACAATTTTACCATCAACGGTAAAACCAGGTCAATTGGAAAAAGTAAATTCTGAAAATTGTAAATTCAGTTGATACAGAAAAATTGGCAAATCCAATTGTTATCAATTCTAGCTTGCCAATTGACTTACTCTGGCAGATGATATTGGTTAAGATAACTATTTCAATCATTTAATAACAATGACTTTTTACCTTCCATTTTAAGGTCATAATGACGCTTTTAGGGTGTCGATGGTACAGTTTTAAATGTTGATTGTTGCCGACTATTTGACATTGATATTTCATTGTCTTTAGTAGCCATCAACTGTATTGTTATTGTTTATATTGTTGATTGTTAGAGATGATGATGATAATGTTTAAACTCATCTTGGACTACACTCATAATGTTCAGAATGTCACTATTTAAACTGAAAAAACAATTGAATTGAACAAAGATAATTTAGTGATTAAAGCATGATGATAGTGATGATGGTTATAATGATGATGATCTGATTTTATGGTTGGTTTGCTTTGAATGATTGTCTAAGAAAGTTATGTTATAAATGAAAGTAGAGAGCGAAAGAAATGCGAAAAAAATATTGAAGGTAAACTTACGCGAAGCAACAGAATCAAAAGTAATTGCTGATATAAATAGAAGTATAATTAAGACCAATGGACTGGTCAGTGTGTTAAAATTTATATCCTTCATCTTGGCATAATTCCGATAATACAAAACACTTTTTTTGGCTTAGAAACAATGACGGAATGGCAAATGAGAAGAGATGAAATTTTGTTGTAATTTGTAACTTATAACATGATTATCGATGTGTATATTCCTTGGAATTATCAATGGTTGATGTCAAATGATTATCCAATTGTTTGATTAACTGTCCACCACTAATCACTAATCAATCACAACAATTTGAATAAACGGTAAAACATAAATCTCTAAATGGCACAATCATATTTTATGGTAATGGTGACAGATTATTGATCCTTTGGGTCATGAATGTTGTTCACTGATTTTTAACAGTTAAAATTGGTTAAACAGCTGCGAAATTGTCATAAATTGTAAAGTTTAATGTAAACGAGAAGTGAATAAGTTGATGGTTGGTTCAATTGTAATCTGGTTCAACTTTCTGAAAAACTTTACCCAAAAGTTAACCTGACTATTTCATTTCTCAAGCACAAATAGAGAGAGCTAGCTGCGCTTTCCCGTTGATGCAGTTCAAGAGAGTGTGGTTAGGTGAGATTTAAAGGTAGGAGGAGATCTGAGTTCAGGGAGGTGAGTTAGTTCATCATGTTCAGGGGTAGTCAAATTGGGGGAGATTTGCTTTTCATTTACTAGTTCTAAGTACGGAAAACGCTCTCAAAGACGTTTCTAGACAATAGTCCAAACAGTGCCCAGTGTCACAGCTAATATTAGGTAAACCAGAAAATTTTCAACCTCTGACTGCAATTATATTTCAAACGATCATATGAATATGGTAAAATTTATTAGAAACTTTTTAGACCTTTTACTCTAATAATTAAACAATATTTGCTCTTTGATTGTCACCTAATTTCACAATGAAAATATTGATCAAGATACTTGAATCTTGGTTTAATTAATTTGGGTTTAACTAATCTTGGTTTTTTGCAAGTAAATTGAATTGTCGATTGTAAATTATCAACTATCGAGAATTGCAAAATGTTAGCATCGATCGAGAGCTAGAAGCTCATGTAATCCCTGAAAATTGGAAAGAATCCTTCTCTTTGGAAATTCAATGTTAAAATTCTGATTATCATTGAATAACTTTTTCACTTTTTTGCCTCTCTTTAATTGCGCCATCTAACGTCTTAAAGAGTATATTGAACCGTTAATCACTTGTTTCGGAGGCTATCCTTAAACCGAAGTTTGAATTTCAATTTACATCTCAGTTTAATCAATGATTGTTATCATTTTGATGCGATTTACCGTTATTTTATATTGTAATTAATAAATGGAATGTTCATTGGAATGATTTTGTATGTAGTGAATCAATTAAACGAGTTAACTGATTTAATTAACCTTTACCCCAATCGTTGAATTTGCTGCTTTCTTACTGTTTTGCTATTGTGTTTTTACCTTAACCATATTATTGCAATTGTGTTCTGGATTAATTATTGGGTGATGTGATCAGTGATTGAATAATACTCTGTTTTACTGATTACTTGTTGAGGGAAGGAGAACAGATTAATCAATAATATCAATCAACCATCCACCTCCACTCCTCCTTATGAAAGTTGTCCCTATAGCCACATGTAATCATAGCTTTCTAAGCTATTGAGCCTATCCCTTGCTTTTTACATTTCAATTAGATCCCAATCCAAGTTTAATCAGAGAAACTTTATTACGAACAGTAAAAAAACATGATCAAAAAACAATTAAGCTTACAGAAAAACAACTAAATCTTTAATTTCTATTCCTTACAGAGTTCACTTTCCATTGCTCAACACAATCCCCGCAATACTTCATTGGATTCGCAATCGTTTCACTTTCCAATCAATGGTCAACCTAAAAGTGGATCCAGCAAAGTCAATGACTTGTCAGATGAAACACCAATCAACAAATGAAGCTACCAAAAATTACAAAACAACACTAAACTTGTCTTGATTTTTACCCGTAATGAAACACCAAGCTTACAATGGCCAATGGGTTGATGGTAATTAGTTAATGAATTAGCTGGTTCAATTGGAAACACAAACAAATCTAAATTGATGAATGATTTTAATCATCATTTGATCACGAATAAGGAAAAAAAGGAAAACAAATTAAAGAATAAAGCCCTGAAAAAGCAATTCTTGACGGTAGTCGATACAACATGGACTCTTCTTAACCAGAAAGCAAACTCGGCACAACAAAAGGGTTACTTGGTTGATTACCTTATTATGTTTACAAATTTTTCTTTATTTTAACCTTAGGTTGATTGTTATTTGATATTGAGAGTTAATTAATGGACAAGAGATGCTAAACAAACTAGTATTCAAGTTATCAAGCTTATCAAGAAAAACGTTTGCATTAACGTTGGTCCATCTTGCTTTTTTGTGTGTGTGTTTTCAAAATATTAGCTCAAGTTATCTTCATCATTTAAATGGTTTATACACGGTTTGACCTCTCATAATAACAAAAACTGATCCTCATCCTCATCATCCTCATTATCATCATTGAAGACATTAATAGTTTTAATATTTACAGTGAAGAAACCTGTTATCAACATTATTACCATAAGTGCGAGTATGAAGCTTGAAAAGCAACTCCAAAGTAATGTATCCAAGATTGAATCTTATCAATTATCAAATTGTGCTTAATCAATACAAAAAGATTAAGTGTGATTGTTTCAAGCCATTTTTCATGGGCTTGGTTCAAATTAATCCACAATTTATCCCTTCAATGTTTCACTTTGATCGTACAAATCAATTGATAATTAGCAAATTGAAAGCAACAAAAAGGTTAAAACAAAAACCTGATTTTTTGTTTGCTTTTATTAAAACATTCACTCTTGCTTTGTTATTAATTGATTATCTCACTTGAAACAATCACAATTTTACCATTAATCCAGCAAATCCAATCAGATGGATTCAATTATGATTAATGATGGTAAGAAGTGACTTCAAGATTTGAAGCTGTCCTAACCGAAAAGTGAATGCCAATTAGATATACATTTTTGCATTGACTTGTTTCAATTAATAGATTCCTGAAATTTAAATTATCTTCCGGTAAAACAGCATTTTTGCTAAATTTAAATTAACAAGTCAATTTTAAGATCAATTTTTCATATTAACAAAATAAGTTTCAATGTTAACCTTCAACCTTATCAAATAATAGCTATTCACTTGTAACTTAATTGGGCTTCTCTCCAACCGTTAACTGTAAATTGTAAAATTAACCAATTCTCTCCTTCCCAAGCCTAAGGTAAATTAACCTCAGGTTAGTTAAGGTTTACTAGTTAATCAAGAGTTGGAAATGAGCAAAATGAGTAAAAACTGGTTAAAATAAATCATAATTTGATCTTCATTCAACAGGTTAACCTTAACTTGCTTTCCTTCCAATAATTTATCAATAGTAAATGATTAAGGTTATTTCAATGCTAGATTCACAATTTTCAAATTATCTAATTTCAAACAGTTCAATTGTCTTACACTATTTTATTGATTAAAAATTGGTTAAATCGAAATGTAAAATAATTGTTGCTAAATGCTTCACAATTGATCATTTAAGTAGATTTGATCGTGTTTTAGCAACTCAATTTCAATTCTTATTGGTACAAGATTTTTTGCTCAGAATTTATAAAGAGATTGATTAGGTTAATTCAGCGATTAAATGAAGATGAAACTAAATCAACAAAATAAGGTTGTGCGAGGAACCAAATGTATTTCAAGGCTTACTTGTTATAATTTATTCACATTTGTGTTTGTATTAAAATATTAACGAAATCATGATTTACAATACTATTTGCAAATGATTTACTTCAATTGTACTGAGGTTCACATGAAAAAAATCTCAAAAAATCAGGTGAATCAAGTGAAATAAGGAAAAGTGTGATTATGAAAAAGTAAGGATTAAAAGTGAAGGTAAAATGATGAGAAATCAGACAAGACTGGAATTGAATCAAGGAAGAATTAAAGTTAATCAGGAGATGTAAAAAGATGACAGAAAAGTGATTAACGAATAGCAAGAATGTTTGTATTTGAGGAAAAGAGTTCACATGTGATTGTAATTAATAAAGATAATGTAAAAATCAGAAGTGATTAAAAAACGCAAATGGCATTTACAACAAATTGATTGAAAAAAGGTAAACATTTTGAGCACAAAAAACAGTAATGTTATTGCTATTGTTGACCATTGTAGGGCTACAAATCAAATAAATTGCTCTTGATGTGGACAATTGCCATTTCCTTTCAAGGAGTACATTTGTTGATTGTTGTCTACAATAAAAGTGAAAGTATTAAATTATAATGATGGTGGCTGGTTGATGAGTATTACTTGTGAATTTAAGGATTGGATGTAAAGCAATTGTTTCCCGTAAACTTGATAACTTGTTTATGTATTGTTGTTAATGTTCAATTGTTGGTGAGGGAAACAGCACAATTTACGGATTTCCATCCATCTTTTCTCCCTTTGATTGTTTTAATTTGATTGGAGAGTGAAATTTTCATTATGGCATTTCTCACCACAATCCCATTTGTGATCAAAACGGTGATCCAAATCGTAATCCAAATTGTAATCCGAGTCTGTCTATAAGAGTAAAAAATGGAAATTTTAAGTTAGATTGAAAATATATCAATTTGATTTAGAGGTGAGAGTGAAAATCAATGAAACGAGACAATCACATTCAATTCAAGTTGGTCAATTAGAAGGAAGATGATTATGTATGGTTAGAGGGGACAACATTATAATCATATGAATACAGTTGTATTAGCCATCACCCAAAATCACAATTAAATACAAACTTCCGGACAAAAGTAACACTTACCATTAAATTTTAAGTAATCCTGAATTTTACACTAAATAGGTAATGATTATAATTATTCATTATTATACTTTGATTATGATTTTCACTGATCATTTTTAGGTGAATGGTGTCAACCAATTGACAAGCTTGAAAAGGTTTGCACTTGAACAAGGTTCAAAGTTGACTGGATGGACTTGATTGAAGGTTAATTAATAATTTACTTTCATTATCCAAAGGTTTTAAGAGTAGATTGATTGACAGTTGATAATGACAATTGAAAACAATGATAAAAATTAATATCATAATAACGAGAAAAATGGAGTGAAAAATATAATAACTGGCAAGCAACCTTTCATGTATAACTGTGACTAAGGGTCAGCTGGTTAGGATTGATTTGGCGCGACTCTTAACTTGAAGATTAATCAAATTAATTCTCAGATAATTTGATAGATTTCAATTTCTTGTTAACAATATTACAATCTCAATAAAATTAATTAGTTGCTTCAATTTTTGGTTAGTTTGCATAATTTTTAGGATATACTTGTTGATCTATCGCATGTACGGAACTGTGTTTCTGCATGTAAATCAGTGTAATACCCAATTCACATGCAAACTTTACGATTTAGCTTAGCAAGCTGGTTACAATTAAGGATTAAGGTGGATGATGAAAGGTTAATTTCTCAGGTTAACAAAACAATTTACAGGATAAACAGTAACCATTTTAGATGATTAAAGATAATGATTGCAATGATGTCTTCCTATCGTGATTCAAATGAACTCCTTTAATGGCTATTTCTCAGGCTAAAAGGATTAAGCTTCACTTAAATTTTGTTACCAAAATTCGTAATCGGTAACATTGTATGATTTTAATTGAAAATAAACACAGATTTAAGGTAATAAAATTGAAGATTTGCAATTGAATAATCATATTAATCAAATTGAGTGAAAATAAATTTACTTGAATTTAAATTGAAAAAAGCGCTCAAATCATTTCTAGTTTTAAATGTAACACTTAACTGCCATTTCTGTTGTCAAGAAGCTATCGCAAGTCTTAAAACAAGCCTTCTATTTTTGATTGTGATAAAGTGTTTCTAAAACAAAATCAAGTTAGTTTGTTGAATAATTATTTTTACGTGGTCAACGGGTAATTGACCTTCCTTCTTGATGATGGTCACTGTCTGGTCTTCAGCGTTTCGATTATGGTTATATTTATCAAAACTGTTTTTTCCTTTTTTTGCTATTAATCTCACCTAACCTGGTTCACTAGCCTTTCCATTTGTTTGCTTTGTTTATTATAATATGTTCATGTGTGTGTGTGTTTATACTTGATTGTAAAGTTAAAAATTATTAGTTAATCAGGCAAAAATTTGCTAAACAAAATTGTAACCATTAAGAGTTAAAGGTAAGCTTGTTTTGTGATCATCATTGTTAACAGGAAAGGATTGGTGAAGGTCGCTTTCATTATCTTTCAAATTATTCAAATTCAATGAGCTTCATTCACGATGTTTGAATACAGTTTATCGCTTAGAGATGTTAAAGATGATTTGAATTGACCTTTTGGTCAATCAAACATTTTATAAACCATCTGATTTAGTAATTTACTAATCACGAAAACTTTCACTATTAACTTTGTATAAAAGTGATTTATTTTATTACACTTTAAATCGGACACAAATCATTGTTAATTCATAAGTGATTCAGAAAGTGTTGCAGATTTAATTGAGCATATTTAATGGTTGAAAGTGTGCATTGAGTTGATTGATTGTAGTCTCAAACTAGATGTTGGATGCTGTAATTATTGAGGAAGATGATTGAATTGTCATTTAAGAAAAAATTAAAGCCTTTTGTTTTCTATTGACGATGAAAGATTTCTTTTGTTGGACAATTTGCTGATTGTTAAGGTAGATGGTGAATACAATTTCTGTTGTTTAGTTGAGACAATTGTTTTTGTATGTTAAAAATGTAACAATTGATTTGAATATTAAAATAAGCTAATCTAATCCTTTAGTTTCAATCAAAACACAAATAGAAGTGGATTGTGAATATAAATAATGAAGACCAGAAGATGAAATCTGTAAAGATTTGGCTTATTGTTGATGATTTGATTGACAATCAATGTATGTCATCTTAGATGAGTAATAATGAAACGATTAAGTGTATTAAATTTGGTAAAACGAAGTAAAATGTGAAAAAAGAAAGTAAAATTAAATGCATTTTCCCTTGAAAGTTAACCATTGAGTCTCCCATAGTAAGGCTTTTTGGTAAACCATGTTCTGGTTACCCAAATATTTGGATTAACCTTCGCGAAAAGGTTAAATCATAATAATGTTGATGATGAGGATGATAAGGATAAATGTGAATATGAAGAGAGATGATGATTAGAAAGAGGAAGATTGTAAAGGAGGTGAGGTTAAACAGTAAAAAGTTGAAGATGAAAAAAATGGCTTTCAACTTTCAATGTGGTCAACCTTTTTTTGAATCATTGGTTTTTTGCCTCCTTGATTATATCTTTGCTACCAGCAACAACAAAGTTGATTGTAATTAAAGGCACACCTAATTCTGGGTAAAATCTGAGCCAATAATTTGATGAAAATAGAAATTAAATTGTGAATTCAATTGGTGATGAGAATACGGCTGAATGGAAATGTGTTTTCCTTGAATTTCCAAAACACTTTGCATACTGAACCCCAAAAGGCTAACGTACAATTCATGCCTCGTACAATTGGTTTCAATCTTTGGTCAATCCTTGTAAATGTCGAACAATGGAGTAAATTTTTTCTGCAAAATTTAAGTTAATCATCATTGTAATCAAGCCAATTATGATCTGGATATGAACGATTTCTCCTTCCATTTTAATTCAATTTACGTGTGTTGCTGTTGCCAGATAACCAGAATTGTTAACGTTTGTAGTGTTGCCATACAATTTGCTCATTTATTATCATCATTTGTGGGTCCATTCAATTGAGGGATTACGATTTGATTAATTTAATCGTTGAGATAAGTGTTGAGCTTAAATAATATCTGATGAACAGCTTTTCATTGTGAATCCAAGTGTTTCTGTATGTTACTTTGCTCCAACAAAAATCTTATAACATTTGATTTTAAAAGGTCAGCAAAACGTTGATGTTGATGATGATTCATCATCATCTTAATGATTAAACATCAAAAAGGATGAAAAAAAGTAACATTAATTTACTCATTGATTAAAGAAAAATCAAGTTAAATGTCAACAAATATCACGATTTCTAAAAGTGAAGCTATCCAAGCAAAGCGTCCAAATAACGGTTAGATTAACTTGGCAACAGCGTGTAAGACTTTAAATGAATCGAGACCAAAAGTAGTCGCCGTTTTTGATTAACTTTTCACTTTCAAAATTAAATTGATTGGTTCATTGAGTGATAATCAAGAGTGCCAACAAATATGAAGTAATTTTTCAAATACCATTAGGAATAGTCAATATTTGCCATTTGATTTGGGTTGAAACGCAGAACGAAACCTGCCTTATAACAGCTACTGAACATTGTTGATGATATCAGACAATTTACACTATCATATAATAAAATCAATATTACCACGAAATAAGAGTTCAATGAAGCATCTTTCTTCACATAAATAACGATTAAATATCCAAAAATTGAATATAGATAACAGCATAAATTAATTGATGGACAGTGTAGAGGCAGAAACTGAGAGTGTAACTTTTTTCACATCATGAAACAAGATCAGAAAGTGGATCATGTATTGATTTAGAAGGAGTTAAATTAATAAATTTGATGTATTTAACGTTCAATTAACGGATCAATTGAATAAAAAACGTGCGACTAGAGGCTTGAAAATACAGCTACACGCTCAAAGAGGGAAACGGCTAAAGCACTCAGCTGACGATTTTTTGACAAAACTCTTCAAGGCAAAACTAAAAGTGTCTTCATTTGTCTTTTTTTAAAATAATTTTATTAATTACAGTTAACCAACTATGAATAAACATTTGTATCATTTATACAGTTAACATCATTAATAAATTCATTTATTATATCATTAAAAAGACATTTTAAATACATTTCAATTTGTTGTGTTTGATTTTAGATATATCGACTTTGACATCGATTAGATTCGGATATCTAGGATTCATTGATTTTTAAGACTTAAAGATAATCCATCATTCAATTGTATTGTGAAAATTAATTCATCTGTGTTGTTGATGTTTCAAATTGTTCAGCTTCTTTAATCGCGTCATCTTCATCGCTATCTTAATCGTTTTGCTATTAACAGCACGAAGTAAATTTAATCCTCTTGTATCTTGACCTGAATTTAGATTCCGCCTTTTGTCAATAAATATTTTTGAGGAAAAGACTTGGAATGCTTTTCGCTGTTCACATTTCATTTGACTTTCCTAATTGTTTACAATTTACTCATTCTATCTTTCACGAAATGATGACTTTTCTTCTTTCATTATTAATTCACATAACTGATGATCCTGATTGTTGGTGGTTCTGATTTTTGTGGTTTCTCCTGTTGGTCTCGCAAATTATTAGCTATTCAATCACAGTTTTCCCATCTAACCTTAATTAGATGTTTTCGTGTTCATCTCAAACCATTTAGACAACTTAGGAAGCCTTTATAATTTAATAGCAATCGCTATTAATGTTATTATTATTTTATTTATCATCATAACTGTGAGAATTTGATGAAAAAAAATTCCAAAATTGATTCGTCCAATCAATATTTCCATTCCTTTTGAGACAAGTTTCATTGCATCTTGTCCCTTGGATGGATCCAAATTAATCGTTTTACTTGGTTCATATTTTGTGATTGAAATGAAGTCAAGTACTGCTAATTATTACTACATAAATTTGATAAACATTCATCACTTTTTTGTCCGTTTTTTTCTGGTTTCGGCTCCATTTGAATAGTATCTGTTCCTTTTTTTCATGAACTATTAATAGCTGCTTTACAATTAAATTCAATGTTTAGAATTTGAGAAAAAAATCTCAGCATGAATGAAATGCAGACACAAAAAATGGTGAATTGTCAATAGACTTGTTGGGAAAATTTTTACAATCACAGTTATTTGATGGTAAATTAGCGTTGATAAGAAGAAGAAGATGGAAATGAGGCCATTTTTGGATATCTCAATAATATACATAATTAACAGTATAATGGACATTTCGAGGTGTATATAAACTTTGGATGCGTGATCTTTCAGCAGTGGTAGGTGCTGAAGATTTGGTTTTAACTCGGTTCGATAGAGAAAATGAAAAATTTTTGTTGGTTATTATTTCAGTGGCGACCAGATCAAAATTAGTGATTTATAGCAAAATTAGGAAAAGTGACCTTATGTATTTGTGCTCAATCTCTTTGAGACCATGTTGAACTAACGAAATTTTCTTTCCAATGGATTAATGCATAAGTTTTGATTCAGAGTTTTGATCAATGATTTGAGTTGTCTATTTCAAATCAATAGGAAAATCTTTAGATACACAATGTCAGAATCTGAAAGTAGACACTTTACCAGTGGTGATGTGCAAACAATCGCTTGCTTGTTCAATTAAACATCCACAACCAGAAAATTCAATTGAAATGAAGATTTTAGATGAAACAGTCCAAAAAACTCAGTTTTCGTTTACTTTGATGGCTTTCGTTAGCAAGTTATGCTACCATATCAAGACGTTTTAT